TAGTGGAACTACAACAGTTGACTATTTGTTAGGATTTTAATCTATTGAAAACAAAATCCATTCCAAATAGTACATTTTTTGATTTTTCTGTATGTCTTCAGACTTAATCTAGCACCTGCTAGATTTTGGTAGAGCAGTCAGAAAAACCTAGTGACTGGGTAGTGCTCAATACCAAAAATGGACTGAGCGTGTTTGACTAGATGGGATTTAATGGGAATCATGGAAATTCGTATTGCCTGAATACCATTTGCAAACATTCACTCTCTCTGTACTTACGTATACGTGTTGGGTTTTTTTACTCGAAGATACTGTGCTATTGTACTAGCAAGTTTCTCCCATCTGTGACACATAAAATTACAGAGTTTAATCTCCAGAAACCAGATCAACAAGAATTTATTTAAATAGTAAGGCATAAATTCTCGCTCCTTAATGAGCCCTAGATTAGCTCCAATTTCTCTAATGGTAATTTCTGGTAATTACAAACAGAATACACTGGATATAGAAGAAAGAATAGGTCTTACATTTAAAGGAAAGAGCTGGAAGTCTAGATTTTGTGGCTGATTCAAGTGTTACCTTAAGGTCATGCCTTGAACAGTTCACTTTGATGGGAGTTTCAAAAGAGCTTGAATGAATCAGATACTACCCTAAATCCCATTGGAAAGTTAGGTGCTTAATTTCATTAGGCTCTCCTGTAACTCCAAGGATTTAGCTGTCTGTGTTTCAATTGAGGGGGTAAAAAGAAAGGGGGGGCACCTTGAGTACTAGCTGCCAACTTACCACTAGTGTATCCCAGATTGACGTCAAATGCTTAACTGGTATTTTTTTGCATAAAAAGAAAGATGACCCCTTATACTAGAAACTAGTTTAAGAAAGAGGTTACCTAAGATAATTTCACCTAGCAGAGGTTTACAAAAACAAGAAATCAAGAACTGAGCTTTTCTGCTTACTCAGAGATGTACCTTAATACTACCACAAGTAACACAACGCAATTTTTGTGACTTCAATTCCGTCCCTCCCAAAATATACCAGCCGTCTGTCTTTGCAGATGAAATACCTGATTCTACTTCTTAAGTTCCTGTTCTCTAGACAAAGCAGGTTCCCCTCACAGTCCCCATTTTGGTGCAGTTCCTGAAAACAACATCACTCCAATACATTTAAGTATGTCTATATGCATCAATGATGATAGCAGACTACCTGGGCTCAGAAGGTTGCTGTGCATTTAACACTAATGATTACATTTCTTTTGTCTTTTTGCTTTGTCTCATTTCCATATTTTATTCAGTTTTAATCCTGCTTTTCTGTAGGATTTTTCTCCCTTCCCTGTTATCCTTATGATCTTTGAAACCAAATGTAAAATTAATACTCTTTGCATTCTGGTTGAACTTTCAAACCCAGGAATATTTTTGTGTTAGGAAACTTATCTATTTCCTGATTCATCTGCTACATCCCCGACATATCCGAGCATGTCCTGTTATTTGCATGTTTGCAAAATTTTGGTACTTAAAGGGTTAATGTGCCTTTTGTACCTCAGACACACTAGGATTTTGCAAGCAAATGTCTGTTGGTTGCAAGAACATATGAGCAAGTATGAGACTAATTTCCTGTTAAGGAGTTGCTACATTAAAAGGATATTTGCATAATCATAGACTAAGATAATGTAGGGAAAACCCCACAGATCATTCTGATGCCAGGATTAAGTCAAGCCCAACATGTAATTTATTTGAATGCATGAAAGCTGCTTCTTATCGTTCACTTCTATCTCAAGTCCCCAAGCACTTTAGTTGGCAGCAGCAGGCTCTAACTCCTCCTGGCTAATTCATTATCCTCAACAACTTTTAAAAGGGTTATTTTAAGTTTAACTTAACAGTCCCTGCAACTTAATTCATACAATAAAAAAATTATTCCTTTTATGACTTGTGTCACGTTCAAAATCAAGCTACTGCATCTTCTTGGGTCATCATTTTATTTAGTGCCCTCGCCTTCAGGTTATGATAACTTCTGAAATATTGCATATGCCACAAAAACAAGGGTTCAGGACTACACCTATGAAAAACACAGCCAACACCAATGAGATTTCATAATGCAGGTAGTTTTTTCAACTTGTATATAAATAAAGGAGTGTCCACATAGGAGTTTAGCAGAAGGGCCTCAAGAGTAAGTACATTAGCAATTAAAAATCAAGGCAATTAAATGTTTCTGAACAGATTAATACTTAGTCAGGGCTGGAGGTCCCTGACTTCCATTTTAAATGCTGTTGCATGCTTTAAATTTTTACTTGGAGAATCCCATTGCCAAAGTAAAGAATTTGTCACACTTGTCACCTGATACTTCCTCCATGTAAACATGCTTGAAGGTTTATGGCTGGGGTGCTGTAGAGGTGTCTGAAAGGTTATTTATTTTTTACTCAACTTGGATGAGTATGTTACTTGAACCTGAAAGTCCAGTTGCCAGGAAAAAAAAGAAAAGAAAAACCAAATGAAAACCCAAGGCTACTGTCATGCTTGCTTGCCATGGTTAAAATAAATGGGGATAGAAGGAGATGTGTAGGAGTAGGAAGAGGGCAGCTGCTGTTTCTGAAAAGCAATAGAGGGAGGAGAACCCATTCAATAGCATCTCAGTGGCAGCTCAGTCTATCAAACCTCAAACCATACCATAAAGGGGGAATAATGTTTCAAGTGAGGGAAGGGCAAACATTATGATAACAAATTTAACTATAGCAAAGGCAAGAAGAGAGAATATAATTGAGCGCTCAGACACCAAAATAAGAAAGCATTTAGTAGCAATGGTAGCAATATTAGTAGATAAGCACAATTAAATGAATAGGATGATGACCACTGTCTACTGCAATTGAAGCACTAATGAAACACTTTCACTGTACTGGAAAATAGTACCATGTTTTACTATACTTTTTAACTATGATTAAAACAGCACAATCCTATTAGCCTGAATAGTTAGTCCAATATTAATAAAAAAGTCATATACTAACCCACATCAAGATGTATTGTCCTGTTTGAAACTTCTAGTCCTCAATGAGAAAGACTGCTATATTTGAAAGAGAAGGTCTAGATATTTTAAGTAGTTACTACAACACAGATTTCTCCTAAATTTTGGAAATGTTAAAACCAAAACTATCACATACTGAATATGAGGAAATAATTCTAATTAGTCCAGAAGAGAACAATGGCTGATCAAGTAGACAATACTCAATAATTTATTGTAACCCAAAACTCACATTGCACAAAATTAATTACCAAATATAATGAAATGATAATACATTGCAACCTGTTCCCATAGGGAGACAAAGGATGGGAGACAGTCATCCCAGCTATATATAAGTTTAACATCTCTCCATAATATATAGTCTATGTTTAACTCTAAACTTGATAAAGGTTCCCAGGCTGCAACACTGAGACTGAAGTTGTGGCGTTATGCCATATAACAGCATTACGCAAGTCATGAGCTTTCCCTAATTGTGTTTTTGTGTATGTGGAAATGTATGCAGAAATCTGTATGAAGAAATTTATCAGAAGGCTTAACCTCTGGAAAAAACCCATATTTCCCAAAACGACTTTGCTTACTTCCTTTATTATTAATGATACGCCATTCACAGCTTCGCTTCCAGAAATCCTCCAAAGCTCTGTAAGTCTCTGCAACATTCCTATCTGCCTTACCTATCTTTACAGGTCCTTGATTTTTTTCCTCCTACCATATTCAAAATTGATCCTAACAACACAGGGAATAGTTTTACAAAGATTTCTCCATTGAAGAAGTGTCCACACCTGAGAACTGCTTCAGAATGAAAGAAGGAATGAGAATATTTACGTGCAGTACAAAGTTTCCATCATGAGCACAAAGAATGAGCACAGGATTCCTGCGTAGAGGAATATGGTGTAGATGAACAGGAAGGAGAAAGCTAAAAACTGTATGGAATGGGTGTTTGTCCTGGTTTCAGCTGGGATAGAGTTAACTGTCTTCCTAGTAGCTGGTACAGTGCTATGTTTTGAGTTCAGTATGTGAAGAATGTTGATAACACTGATGTTTTCAGTTGTTGCTCAGTAGTGTTTAGACTAGAGTCAAGGATTTTTCAGCTTCTCATGCCCAGCCAGTGAGAAAGCTGGAGGGGCACAAGAAATTGGCACAGGACACAGCCAGGGCACCTGACCCAAACTGGCCAAAGGGGTATTCCATACCAGGTGACATCATGCCCAGTATATAAACTGGGGGGGAGTGGGGGTGGGGGGAGTCACTGCTCGGGGACTAACTGGGCATCGATCGGCGGGTGGTGAGCAATTGCACTGCGCATCATTTGTACATTCCAATCCTTTTATTATTGCTGTTGTCATTTTATTAGTGTTATCTTTATCATTATTAGTTTCTTCTTTTCTGTTCTATTAAACCGTTCTTATCTCAACCCATGAGTTTTACTTCTTTTCCCGATTTTCTCCCCCATCCCACTGGGTATTGGCAGGGAGTGAGTGAGCGGCTGCGTGGTGCTTAGTTGCCGGCTGGGGTTAAACCACCACAGCATTAAAATCCCAGGAATTCAAAGTAACACACCAGGGAATGTAACATAAAAATAATCTTGCCTGTGAAAAAAAAAGAGAAAACACGTTAGAGAAAAGCAGCCATGAAGAACTCAGAAGTGTCAGGAAGTTCACAAAGTTAAACCACTAAGTGGCCAGACTTAGCCTTGTGTTACAGGTGTCAGCTAGGTCAAAAGAAGATTTCCCATTACAGGATTAAGTTTATCATACTGTAAGCTGCAAGACATAGATGCAAATTTAATGTGCTCAGAAGCTAATAGAGAGATCAAGAACTTTATAGTAAATCCCACAAACATTGGCTTAGTTACAGTTGTAATTATCCTCTCCTTTAAAAAAAGGTACTAATAATTGATTCAGGATATTTCTTATTTGCATATTTTGTTAAAATCCTTAAGCTAGTATTTTGAATTACAGTTGACTAAGATTAGTTTTTATTTTTCTGTGGGGTTTTTTTAGAGAATGTTTTCATCCTACTTCATCCTGAAGTATCAGTCCAGTGGAAATGACAGAGTTCAAATTCTGCAAATAAGAGAAGAAACTTGTTTTTGAAGAAATAAACAAAAGACAGACAGCTGAACTGCAGCAGGGATCACTGAAATGCTGGTAGCCAGGAGAGGTTAAAGTCAGGATAGTTTCATGACTTGTCTTTTCATACCTTGTCAGCTGTGCACTGAAATTGTCCTTTTTAATATTATCAATGTCTACAGATGAAATTCTCAACGTCTTCTATGCTCTTTACATGGGGTAGAAAGACTGAAATGTCAAAAAGGCTAAGATCAGGCCAGACGTAATTCACCAGGGTGGAGAATAATGTAAGCAACTGAAGCCTTCCTTGCAGAACTCTGGGCTGAGCATAAGGCAGTGATTTCAGGAGCAGAGGGTATAACACTTCCTAAGGATTTGTAGATGTCCTTGGGAATCAGCTTCTATAACCCAAACAGTCTCTTGGGACTATCTAAAATATCCTATTTGGTCATTTCAGCTTCACGTGAGCACAATAGCAGTATAAAATCACAACATCCTCTCCCAAACTATGACTTCCATGCTTGAGTTCTTAGAGGATAAAGGTGGGATTTTGCAGCTGGGTAAAAATTAATACCTGTTCAGAGAAGTAATATCAGGTCTTTGACTCATCTATGATCCATGTCACCTCTATAAAGGTTTTGTTCTTCCTTATGCATCTTTCAAGCACTTATAGCTTGAAAGTGCTATCCAAAAAAAGGAGGTAGGTTTCAGATACTTATAATGGACTTCCTCGTAAAAACTTTTGCATTCAAATAAAAGATTTACGTTTTTAAAATACAAGCTGTATGTGAAGTAGAATAAGTAACCAGTAGCAAACAACATCTTAAGCCATACCTGGGTGTTAGACTGAACACAGCAGAGAGCAGCCTCCTCCTATTTGAGAAATCTCAGCCTAGTATCCGTTCCTAAAGATGGATGCCTAAGCACTGTCTTTGACAAAAAGGTAACCAGGGATTATTAATTTATTCCTGAGGAGAAGGAAGTACCGGCTCCTTCAAATTGTGCCCAGGCACTTAGTGGTCTCATTCAGAGTGATGAAAACCTGGTATCACATACCTTTTCGTAACAAGGAAGTGCAACCAAGTTTCTCCCATCTCCATGAAGAGAGCTAGAACTTCAGTTACTCTAAATTTGGAGGGAGTACTCTCATTCCTTCTTGCTGAAGATGCTGTGAAACTATTCACTGGCTCAGAAAGAGATAGCAGTGGGCACCTATGAATCCTCAAGCAACCAATAGATCATTTACATGGGGAAGGGGAGTCTTGAATCCTGTGTTTAATTTATAGATAGATACTTGAATCTGTGTCCCACATTTTTTTAGCTTGAACTAGACAAAGCTGAGTCAGCAGAAGGAAGTTAAAGTACTGTCATTCAGCAAAGCTTTTGTCATGGGAAAGGCAGATATGAAGACCCTCCAGCAGAAGAAGGAATTAAAGTGTATTGGAGATTTCTGAATGAGTGTCATCTATATAACATGGAATATAAAAAGCTACTTCTCTGTGTCACTTAGTTGTGAGAAATATTTTATTCAGATCCTGACCCAGAGGTGCTTACACCCTCCAAAGATATATTAAGACTCTGGTTCCTGAAAGGGCTTAGGTTTGATGTAGGTGCTTGGTTACTTGAGGCTTTTGGTGACTGTACACAATTCTAGGAGAAATTCAGATGACACTGGAAAAACCTATGGTTTAGATACCTCTAATAGAAATACTTAAGATGCTTGAGAATAGTCCTTGATGCTTGAAATGGAGGTTTGAATAGGCACTTTAGAACAAATCTAAAGAAATGAGCAATTATAGCTTCCAGGCCTCCATTTTAACAAAAACCTCTTTTGATTCCCATGATTCTTATAATCTTCTTTTCATCCTGAAATGCACAATAGATGCTTTTACCAATCATTCATCTCGGCAAATTTTTCATTTTCAAATTAGTAACCTTTAATAAACACATCCCTATAATTTGCATTGGTAATCCTTTTCCCTAGAAGAGTGGGTGTTGCTGCAGGAACATGTCCAAATGTTCACCAACCAGTTACTACTGAAAAAAAGCACCATGCCAGTAGCTATTATGACTCAATAATAGATCAAAATCTCTTGTTATGCCTTAATATGGGATAACAACACCCTTAGAATTTCCATTAGTAATGAAGTACCTTAACAAAATACAGACAGAACAACAGCTGCTGTGAACTTCTAGTAGATAACTATTTCTGCAAGATCCCTGTATTACATTAGCACTCAAGACACTGCATCCCAATCCTCCAGACACCCAGGAAAAATGATAACAGGCCTGATTCAAATGCTGACCTGTGTACAAATGAGTAAATGTGATTTTAAGACAATCATAGAATCACAGAATGGTTTGGGTTGGAAGGGACCATAAAGACCACCTAGTTCCAACCCCCCCCGCCATGGGCAGGGACACCTTCCACTAGACCAGGTTGCTCCAAGCCCCATCCAACCTGGCCTTGAACACTGCCAGGGAGGGGGCATCCACAGCTTCTCTGGGCAACCTGTTCCAGTGCCTCACCACCCTCACAGTGAAGAACTTCTTCCTTACATCTAACCTAAATCTAACCCTCTCCTAGTGTAAAACCATTACCTCTTGTCCTATTGCTACAGATGCTACTGCAAAGTCTGTCCCCATCTTTCATATAAGCCCCCTTTAAAGTACTGGCAGGCTGCTATAAGGTCTCCCCAGAACCTTCTCTTCTCCAGGCTGAAACAACCCCAACTCTCTCAGCCTGTCCTCACAGGAGAGGTGCTCCAGCCCTCTGACCATCTTCATGGCCCTCCTCTGGACTCACTCCAACAGGTCCATGTCCTTCGTATGCTGGGGGCCCCAGAGCTGAACACAGTACTGCAGGCACAATACTGTGACACAGATGTGTTGTGCCTTTGTGAATATGGTAATGGTACTGCGTTAAATACTACATTGTTCTGACTAGAAAGGGACTAAGCTCAACTGAAATAAAAGCAAAAAAAATCCCCTTTGAGTGTGTCATATCAGAGGAAGGGAGTTTGTTGTACCCATTTAACAGTGTAATTGTAACCGGTGGAGACTTCTAGTCTCAAGAAGTGACTTAACACTGATAAGTTTTTTTTTTTTAATAGGAGTATCCACTTTAGGACTTGAATAAACAACCTCTTATTCATGCTCTACTTTATTTTGATGTTGATCCTTATGTAGATCGACTGTGGTTCTCTCTGTCCACATGCAAGCATGGATGCTCGAATCCATTGGGAAAACATGTTTTGTATGCACATCGGTCAATTACAGGATTACAGGAAAATAGCAAGCACTGAAAGTGTTATCTTAAGTTAAACAAGCAAGTTACTGCCGCTGCTGGTAGAGTCACTGAATAGTTACCACTAAATAATTAATTTGGCTTTTTTTTTTCACAGTAACTATGCAATTAACTTGTGTGCCTAGTGTTATTTTAGGATGAGTGTACTGTTCAACTTACTTGAGTTATGCAATACAGGTGTTCTGTAGTTGATGAAACATCCTGTAACCTGAGATCATTGCCACTGATGTGGGTGGAAAGATACCCACTCAGCGAAGTGGCCAAGGGTTCATAACCATAGAGAATAAATGGTTCTCTCTGGAAAAGTACAAAGAAAAGAGAAAAGAGAGAGCACACAGAGGGAAAAGCTGTGTTAAAAAAAGAGAGAGAGAGATGACTGGTAGTCTTGTATCAGTGGGACTCATGAAAACTCCAGTTTTTCTCGATTTTAGTAAGGCTTTTGATACTGTCCCTCACAGCATCCTTCTGGACAAGTTGCCCAACTGCGAGGTGAGTAGGTTCATGGTGCACTGCGTGAAGAACTGGCTGAAGGGCAGAGTTCAAAGGGTTGTAGTAAATGGGGCTATGTCTGGCTGGTGACCGGTCACCAGCAGTGTTCCTCAGGGTTCAATTCTAGGGCCTGTTCTGCTCAATATTTATCAATGACCTAGATGCAGGAGTTGAATGCACCATTAGCAAGTTCACTGATGATACCAAACTGGGAGGTGCTGTTGCTGGGACAAGAGGCCTTGCAGAGGGATCTAGACAGATTGGAGCACTGGGCAATAATTACTGGCGTGGAATTTAACAAGTCCCAATGCCGGATTCTGCACCTGGCATGGAGTAACCCCAGGCACAAGTATAAATTGGGAGAGGAGTGGCTGGAGAGCAGCCCTGCAGAAAGGGGTCTGGGGGTGCTGGTCGACAGCAGGCTTGATAGGAGCGAGCAGTGTGCCCTGGCAGCCAGGAGGGCAAACCCCATCCTGGGGGGCATCAAACACAGCATAACCAGCCGGTCAAAAGAGGGGATTATTCCTCTTTATTTAGCATTGGTGTGGCCTTACCTTGAGTACTGCATGCAGTTCTGGGCTCCACAATTTAAGGAGGATGTTAAGGTATTCAAATGCATCTAGAGGAGGGCAACAAAGCTGGTGAAAGGGCTGGAAGGAATGTCCTATGAGGAGCGGCTGAGGACTTTGGCTTTGTCTAACTTGGAGATAAGGAGGCAGAGGGGTGACCTCACTGCTCTCTCCAGCTTCCTGAGGAGGGGAAGTGGAGAGGGAGGTGCTGAGCTCTTCTCCCTGGGATCCGGTGATAAGATGCTCAAGAATGGTTCAAAGCTGCATCAGGGGAGATAAACCCTGACTTGACATTAGGAAGCATTTCTTGACAGAGAGGGTGGTCAAACACTGGAACAGGCTTCCTACAGGCATGGTCAATGCTCCATGCCTGTCAGTGTTTAAGAGGCATTTGGACAGCGCCCTTAAATAATATGCTTTAATTTTTGGTCAGCCCTAAAGTGGTCAGGCAGTTAGACTAGATGATCACTGTAGGTCCCTTCCAACTGAAATATTCTATTCTATTCTATTCTATTCTATTCTATTCTATTCTATTCTATTCTATTCTAAATGGTCTCAAGCCTGAAAGCATCTGGCTTCCTTACATAGGTTAGGTCAAGACACTGACTAGCCAGAACCACATTTTCCTTATCTGTGAAAGGAGTATAAAATTCCTTTCTGCTATGCTTTGTAGATCGTGACCAACATAATAGGACCTCATGCTCAACTGAGACTGCTTAAGTGCAGTTTAATAAATATAACACTGGGGAAAAGGGGGAGGAATATACAGGAGAGAATAAAGGAAAGAAAGGAAAGGAAAAAAGGAAAAACAAGCCTATTGAAAAAAGTCAGACATGACAAAGACTTAAAGATATCAAGGGGACATTAAGACATACACAAAAAAAAATTAGAAAAAAATATAGGACAGAGGACTTAGAACAAGAGTATCTAAAGGGCAGAAAAATAACAGAGCTTAGAAAAACATTTACTTTCTAAATATGGCCAATAACAGAAAAAAACAGTGGCTGTGTCATGAAACAATGAGTACCCTGTGGCAGATCATCCATTTTCCCCATGCTGGAAGAACAAGTTTCTTTCCTCTGTAATTGCTTGCATTTCTCTGTGGTATAGCCAAACGTCCTGGACCCTTCTGAGATAATGAGAGCTCCACAGTGCAGAGATCCCCAAAGAGCAGAGTAGGTGCCTGTGAACCCGCAATACTTGCAGAGAAGTGCTACTAATAAAGAAAGTTGCCTTGAGGGCTAGTAAGTTGGGCACTAATTAAAGTGACTGATTAGCTTTGAAAAGTGTGGTTCCGGTCTTCCACAGAATGGTCAGAGATGACTTTTACAATTTGTTTCTGTGTATGTGGTGCAGCTGGCACATCATTCCTGATCCCCTGGAGCAAAGGTAATTACTTTTCTTCCTTTTCCCTCTCTATGGAGACTTCTGAATTTACCATTCAGTGGAGTTTAGGCTTTTGCTGGTGTTCTTTTACTCACCTGTACTGGCCCAGACACTACAAATGAACACCAGTCAGCAATGATTGAAGTGATTGGTTTTGATTTTCATTCTTAACCTTTGTGCTGATGTTGACTCAGCTCATTCATCCTCCCTCATGCACTGTAAGCTTCATGCTATTCTAAGAAATTG